TCAAGCCCGCGCACAAAGCGCGAGGCCGATGCGAGGCCGATGGAGGGGTGTTAGGGGTGGAGGACGCGCGCTTGAATGGGGAGGTACCCCTGGAATGGGCAGGCAATTCTCGAAGACTAAGCCCCACACTACGGACACCCACGAGAAGATCTCTTTGTGCCTCCTCACAGCAGGAGCCAATGGTGGGAAAAACCGGAGGGTCAAAGCCAGGCGGGGAGTCTGTCGTGTAATCCGCCAGGGCTAAGAAGCATGAATGAAGCAAAAAAAAAAAAACGGAATCGCCGGCTCCCCAAGCCATCGCGTGCCCACAAAATGAAACATCCTTTTAAGCATGGCCCCTGAGTTGTACTAGAGACCAAATTTTAAAACAAACTATCCACAATTCGGAGCTGAGTTAGCTCCTTTTGTGTTTAAAGTATAGCAACAAACAAAAATCGCTATCTTTTCTCAGTACTCAGGCAGCCCTCACACCCCCACCCCCAAACCCCCACACACACTCTCGCTCATTTCTGCCACAGGCGCCATCTTTGACTCTGAATCAGCGGGGATGGAAAATTACTGGCGGATTACTCGTCGGACTCAGTTTAATGCGATTGTAGTCACACAGTAGAACCTGTTGCCTCCTTTGTACCGTGAAACTATTTTGCATGTATCTTTGCATGGCTTTTCCATGCCCATTAACATGACCGCACTTTAAAATGTGTGTCCACAAATGTGCTTCACTATGAAAAGGCAGTGAAAATTTTTACTGAGCCATTGAGTCCCAAACAGAACTCTTCATTGCACTCAAAACCTACTTCCCCTTCTGGATTTCTATCTTGATGCAAGACACTTCCACTCCGCTAGTGTTGTAGGCAGATGCTTGCAGAGTTGGCTCACACACTGGCTGTTTTCAGTGGCTATAGCCTACCCAGCATAACCCCTGATGCCTAATGCCAGTCTTCCTTTCTTCTCGCTGGGTTTAGAGTGAGAGTACTTTTTACCATTTCTCTCACTCCAGTTTTAAACTATTATTTCTTCACACTGGTACCAGAATAATCTCACAAAAAATGTTTATCTGATAAGGCCACTTTTTCCTGAAACTTCTTCAAAGATGATCTGTAGGAGAAATCTAATTACTTTGCCTAGAATACAGCATTCCATCTCCCTGACTGTTCTTTCATAGCCTCTTTTAGTTTTATGCTTCAACTACAGTGACTTACATGCACCATGCAAAATAATTCTCATGCTCTAAGTTCTTGCACAACTTGTCCTCACCCCTGGGCTCCAAATCCTTCCGTTATAAAGTCTGACTCCTGTATGTCTCCTTCCAAAATGTCATCTATCCTTTTAATTGTAACCACTTTTACCAACTCCTTTAAAAAAAAAAAAAAAAAAGAACCCTGCTCTACCTTTTTATGCTTGGGAAATTTTCTAACAATTATGTTTTAGTCATTTGCATTGATTTTAATTTTCAACTCCAGCATCTACTGCAGTATCTACCACGTAATTGGTTTTCATGAATATTTGTTGAATGTTCATGGCATTTACAACAGATGACATACATGGGCATCCTTCTAGGAGCTATAGATTGTGTGTTTCTTCCTAGCAGAGAAGAGAGTTATAAATGGGAAAGGAGGAATTCCAGGATAACATTTATAGTGATACTGAATTGGAAATAGATATGTTATGAACTCAGAGTATCCAATGTATACATAAATACAGAAAGAACTATAGATAAATGTCTGTCTGTATACCTGTATTGCCATCTGTCTATCTACCTATGTCCCTGAACTCTCTCTGCTACAAAAATTTAGGAGTAATGTTACCTTGAAAGTAAAAGGAAATACAAACAGCCAACGGGATATGAAAAAAAATGTTCAACATCACTTATAATAAGGGAAATGCAAGTCAAAATCACAATGAGGCATCATCTCACACCATTGAGAATAGCACATACTAAAACAAAACAAAAAAACAGCAACAACAAATGTTCGGAAGGATGGGAGAAAGCTGAACTCTCCTATGCTGCTGGTGGGAATACAAACTGGCCACTATGGAAAGCTGTTTGGAGGTTCTCAAACTGCTAAGAATGGAGCTTCCATATGATCCAACATTCCCACTCATAGGTATATACCCAAAGGAAACAAAAATATTAATTCAAAATTACACCTGCACCCCTATGTTTACTGCTGCTATTTACAATAGGAATGATGTGGAATCAACCCAAATGCCCAAAAATAGATGACTGGATCCAGAAGACGTGGTACATACACACAATGAAATATTACTCAGGGCCCTCCCTGGTGGTGCAGCAGGTTGAAGCACAGCGCTAAGAATTGAAAGCCACTTCCCCATGAGTTTGATCCCCACCTGCCCTGGAAGTGACCCACATGGTGCAGCAGGCCTCTCCTGACCCGTCCACTGCTCTCCTCAGCAGTGTACTTCCTCGATCTTCCTGCTCTGCTCCCCACTCTGTCTCTGGTGAATCCTCCCACTGCCTCTGCAACTCTGGCCTATACCCCAGTTCTGTATAAATAAATAAATAAATCTTAAAAAAGGAGAAAGAAATATTACTCAGCAATCAAAAAAAGATAAACTCATGCCTTTTGCAGCAATATGGATGGAGCTGGATGAGATCATGCTTAGGAAATATGCCAGAAAGAAAAAGAAAAATACTGGATGGTTTCACTCAGAGCAGGAGCATAAAGGGTCGGAAAAGAAAAAAGCAATTGTAATAAAGTAAAAATGAACAACTATAAACCAGAGACATTTATGGGGTGGAGAGGAGAAAAGGACCAAATACTGCTTAAAGAAAACATTGCAGAGAAGTTCCCCAAACAAGTGAAGGTGTCCAGATCTAGGGAATTCAAAGAGTTCCTAACAAAATAAACCCAGACATAAACGAAAACTCATTGTGGCTTTTACTTGAATTTTATGATAATAAGATACTATGAGCATTTTTTTTCTTGTTCCTGTTGGCCATCTATATGTAAATAGACACTTTTTCTAAAAGATGAGACAACTGGCACATGAAAAAAAATGTTTATCATCTCTTACTATCACAGAAATGCAAATAAAACCCAGAATGAAATGCTACCTCAAACCTTGAGACTGACCAATAAAAAAAGATCAGAAATAATTGTTAATGAGGAAGTGAAGAAAAAGAAATCTTCCTATACTGTTACTTGGTTGAAATCTAGACCGGCCTAACCTTTGGGGAAAATAGAGGTTGTCAAAGTATACATACATCTACCATATGATCTAGCAATCCCTCTCTTAGTCTTCTACCAAAGAATCCAAAAAACATGGCCTACCCTGGTGGTGCAGTAGGTTAAAGCACAGCACTAAGAAGCTAAAACCACTTCAGCATGAATTGATCCCCGCCTGCCCCGGAGGTGACCCACATGCCGAGGCAGACATCTCCTGACCTGCCCGCTGCTCCCCTCAGCAGTATACATCCAAGATCTGCTTGTTCTGCTCCCCACTCTGTCTCTGGTGAGTCCTCTCACCACTCTGCACCTCTGGCTTGTACCCCAGTTCTGTATGCACAAATAAATAAATCTTTAAAAAAAACATCCAGAAAACATTAATTCCAAAGGATATGTGAACTCCTTTATCTATTGCAAGACTATTCACAATAATCAAGGTATGGAAACAATTTTAAGTGCACAGGCATAGATGAGTGAATTTAAAAAAAAAAATGGTGCTACCAATATGCAAATACTACTTTGCTATTTAGGAAAACAAAAGGTGAAACTTGTCATTTTTGACAACATGGACAGAACTGGAGGGGGTTATAATATGTTATAAAATGTCAAAAGAATAAAGAAAAGAATGATTTATTTCACTCATATATGGAATATGAAGAAACAAAGCAATCAACAGACAAAGAAAACCCAAGCTTGAAATCTGATGGTAGATATGACCCTATCAGAAGGTAAAGATGGGGGGCGTTGAGGTAAAACTACGGTAGAGGATTTTTAGGGCTTTGGTGGTAGGTATGATATGACAACATACAATTCTAGAAATGTAAATCTATGCCCTTAAAGGCTATAGATGGTTGTTAATGAAAATTATCTCAATAAACATAACTTTTCAAAAAAGAGTAATAGTGGTAAGTCTTGAAAATAGATTTAGTCTATTCAAAAACATTTAATAAACAATAACAGTGGTTTATGACTTAAACATAAATATTGACAATCAAAATATATTAAATTTTATATGCAAAATATCTATTAACCAATCAGCATAGATCTTGGCTTTCCTCCTTGTATTAGTTTACTTGAACTGCCAAAGTACCAGAGGCTGGTGCCATAAATAAAAATATTCTTTCTCACACTCCTAGAGGTTTAAAGTGACAGGTTACGGTGTCGTCATGGTTACTTTCTTCTACAGCATCTTTCCTTGACTCAGAGATGCCTGTCTTCTGTGAGTCTTTTTTTTTTTTTAAGATTTATTTATTTATTTATGCATACAGAACTGGGGTACAGGCCAGAGGTGCAGGGGTGGTGAGAGGATTCACCAGAGACAGAGT